TGGCAGCTGTGAGAGGAAAGAGCTCTCCTTTTACATAGTGAGCTGCTGACCAGCACTCACATCACCTTCTCCACAGACCAGGTGTTTCAGCATGACTTCGTGATGTATTCTCACGTGAGATACTTAATGGTTTCAGAGTATGGTGTTGCGGAGCACTAAGTTGAAAGCCATTAGCATTAGTCAGTGTCAGACCCAGGGACTCAACCCATAAAAGGAACAACTGATCAAAAGACTGATACTATCTAAGATAAGGACTGGGCAAAGTCATTCAGGGGAGCTGTACGTTCAAAGAGTAGCAATAGACCATTTAGTACCTGCGGTGAAGTAGCCTGCTCCAACCTTGGGCCTGTTTCCTGCTTAGCCTAACTGGCAAACATTATAATCTCCTCAACCCTGCCTTAGTGCTGGCCATACCTGGTTTTGGGAGAAGGAGTAAATCTTCCCTGATGTACCTCCCAGCAGAAAGGCTATTAAAGAGGTCACTGGACGGACCCATAAATCTCCATTATCAGGCAGTGGCTCCTGTGGCTCATGAAACGGAAATTGTTGCCCTGAGTGCGACTGGGGGAGCCTTTCCTTTCATTCCCATTGTTCACGGTCCCGCAGGGAGCTGTTCAGGCAATTTGCTGCCTGAATAAATGTTTCCTTTCTCAGCTGCTACTGCAAGGTAAGGGAAAGAATAAGTGTCAAGGGATCTCATAATGTTGGGATTTAGAGCTCCAGCCCTGAGACAGAAGCCAAGAAAGCACTTTGCTGCTGTTCCCGGGGAGTCTCCAGTCTCCAGCCATGCTTTAATCCCTGTTATTAACAACAAGGGCGGATTAAACAGTGCACTTGAAACCCAGCGACCTTCCTGCCTGGTAGAGTTCAATGTGATGGCGGTTCACAGTTACTGTGGGCTCTGAGCACTGGGAATTAACTTGTCTTGGCATGGACCTTGAAGATATTGCGCACTTCTGAGGAGTGCCCGGGCATGGGGAGGTAGCCTCAGCCCCAGTTATAACCCTGGGGTAGAAGGTAGGCCATGGCATAAATCTTCAACAGTGAGCAGCTATTTGATCATTTGGATTTCCTAGATTTTGGATAGTGGCTGTGCCATGTGACATTTCATAGACTCCACACAGCTCAAGTGTCCTTTACCCAATTCCTAGCATGACTCTGTAGATTCTGGTTGCTCAGTTTGTTTCTACCTAGTTATCCCAGGCATGGTTACTCAGTAATGAAATGGTTAAAGCTCAGGTCTGTTGGAAAGGATAGGCAGAAACTCGCAGCAGACACAAAAGTAGAATTGTGACTATTGAAATTCTTTGGACTAGAGTGAACCAAACTGGAGGGCAGGACAGGACATGGGTGCAGCACTCTGTTACACTAAGTAGGGCACGAGGAGGCAGGGTTGTGAAGGGATGTGAATCCAAGCTGCAGCTGTTAAGGTGATATTTTCTCATTACTTCATAGACCTCCAACTTTGCAAGAGCAGCTAGGATTGCCTCAGTGGTCTCAGAAAGTGTCTTGATGACTTCTAGGTAACTAAACACAACAATGCTTTGAAATCAGAGCAATTCTTTTACAAATAAATATGATTCCTAGTCTTTCTTTTCTTCATTAGTGCCAAAATGCGTGGTTCTTTCATTCAGTAAAGGGTATTTGTTAAGCTTAAGTTGTCTTCTCCAAGTCGCTTTAGACACCACTGTGTCTAAGGCATGTCCTTCTAGAGAACATTCCTATTAAAAGGAATTCACCATCACCAAGCATACCCTGAAGCAGGAGAGAATTTTTCCTTCAGGTGAGATCATTTGAGGTCAAGGAGCTCGCTTTGCTCTGACAGGGCTCTGGGAATGATTGGTGTTTTTCTGAGATTACACTCCACTAATGACATCTTCTGACTCAGCATTGGATGGTGTAAACAGGAGATACACCCAGTTGGTATCACCTGCATGGGCTATGACTAGGTAGAGCAACCCACTGCAGGAAGCCTCAATGTGCCCTGGGAATAAAGTTTTTCACCAGGGATTTCTATTTATTGATGTGCACGTGGTTCACCTTCGTCTACACCTTGAGGGGTAAAATCACATAAATGTTAGTGCTATGAAAGCAAGACAGCCGTTCTGGTTAAGTCTTTGGTGCAAAGTTGTCAGTCAAAGCCTGTCAAAGGAGAATTTCTACTCCAAATATCACAGCAACTGAAAAAAAAAAAGGAAAAAGAGGAAAAATTGTGAGCATTATAATAAGAACAAATGCAAATGAATGAGAAGGCAAGGAAAGAGGGTCTCAAGGTGGTTTGCATTGGGGTTTTTGAGGGAGATTGCAGATCAAGAGTAAAAAGAGTGTGGACAATGGAGCTGAGTCTCACACAAACTCTTAGAAAGAATATTCAGTATTCTGTAGCAAATTTGATTTTTGCCAGAAAACAAACAAACAAATATATCTGTTTTCAACTCAACATACTTTTCCTTTTACATAAAAAAAAAAAAAAAGATTTCCATACTTGACATTTTTCTTATACCGATTTGAGGCACCTTCATAGTCAAGAGATAGTCCAGCTTTTAACATTTGTGATGGTCTACTATGATTTTTTTTTCTTTACTCATTGCTTAAAAACTTTCAGGATATGTTTTTGTAGTGGAAAATTCTCCTGAAGAGAGAGACTGTAATTAGTAACAGACAAAACTTAGATTGGTCAAAAGTTTTAACTGTTACCTTTGGACTAACTCTATCCTTTTAAATTCTCTGAGATCATGTTGACAACTTTTACTGAACTATTTTCAAAGTAGAGATTTTCTCACAGCATCTACATTACTCTGAAAATAGATAATCTTTCTTTTGGAAAATGTTGATGAAAGATTTCAACAACTTTAAAAAAGAGCAAAATGTTCTCCTTTCTTGAGATTTTTCAAGGAAATGAGTTGTTTCCTGATCAACTGTTCCAATTCCTTCTCTTTTCAAAGGAAGTATATTTGATCTAGACTTTGGCCATAATTCAGTGCTGATTTTAAAAAGGAAAGTAAGGTTTTATGATTATAGTACCACTGAGAACACATGTAAAAATATCACCTGGAGGGATTCCCATTCTGTCTCAAACTTTAGGAATTGCTCTAACATAATGAGATTTTCCTAAGTTGCTAGGAAGATACTGGATTCCTCCCTTTTTTGGTTCCAGAGCCCTTTAGGTGCACTCATTTCCTATTTTCTAGTATTTCCTTGTCGCCACAGGGTCTAATCTCTTGCCATTTTTAGCCATTTTTTTCTGGGGGAAACTAAGCTCACATGAATCTCTTCCTCTGAGTTTTCACTTATCAACCACACTTCAGTATTTTTTTAACTCTTTGTTTCATGCCTAGTTTCCTACAATTTCCTGCAGAAATGAGAGAATATAAGATTGATGTTTGAACATTAAATATTGGAACCTTCCGGGGCTTCGAGACACAGATCTGCCAAAAAATTGTTGGCTTGCTGTTTGGCAAACTGAAGGAAAGGAAAGCTGAGAATCCCATACAGCCAAAGATGGGCAGGCATGAAATGTACTGAGATGCACACTAATATTTTCAGAGCTAAGGTTGCACTGCTCTGTAATGGCTCAAGGCTCTAGTGCCATCCTCTGGAAGTCTCCTGCATGCTACAAATATGTTGGGAATCAGGGAATCAGCAGCCTGTTTTATTCCCAGCCAATATCCAGCAGCCTGTTTTATTCCCAGTCTATGGAAAATTTCAGAGTCCTTTGATGTTATTTGCCTTTTTCTTGTCTTCCCCAGGATTTTACCATCTGATCTTTCTTTTGTAGTGCCCACAACAGAATGTGTGCATGTCTTGGTTTCTGTTGTGGGGTACAGAGGGGAGCCACAGAGAGGAATTTCTTACAAGAATCCTTAAACTTACCTCAGTAGGTGATATCCATTGGGTGGGATCACAATTAGCAATATGCTTTTTCCAGATCCGTACTAACTGGAGGCAACTATATTTGTATCTCAGCAAAGACCATATCATATGATCCAATTTTATTAGGCAAAGTGGACCATATTAAATTAGTCCTTGGCTTCTTGAGGGTTTTCTAGCCCAGGGTGATTGACCTGTGTATCTCCAAATGATGCAGTCACAACATCTTGTATTGGCTCTTCACTACCATGCAGATGATATGAACCTTCCATAGCACCAGCCCAGAGCAACTGTCCTCATTCTCATGTCACAACTTGGCCTTGGGGGAAGGTGAACATGGAATGTGATGTCAAGGAAGGTGAACAGGCCCCAGAGCATGACGTCAAGAACGACAGAGATCTGCATCAGGAAGACCAATGTCCTCTAAATGCCCAAGGCCAACATTTGTTAGTTGACAGCATAGGGCTGAGGTTGCACACATGGATTCTTGCAGTCCGGAAGCTGCTTCTTGTGCAGGGAATCAGCTAAAGACGTGTGAATGTCTCTGCACTTTGGCTCCATGTTTTTTCCCCTCTTCAGAGGGACTTGGGTGGCAACTGGCATGGTGCACAAGTAGAGACAAGACACGCTTCTCTCCTATTCTCCTCCCATGCTTGCCTGAGTTACAGAATGAGAAGTTTGGGCAACTGTGATTTCGGGACAGTTCTGTGGGTCCAGGCTTGTGTTTGTCTGTGGTTGCCGGTAATTTGTCTTGATTGTAAACTTGGTTATTTGCCTGTCCCAATCTGTTTGCCCTGGCTGTGCCCAATCTTGGAAATTGGATAACGTCAGAGCAGAAGGGAAGGTTTCTATTTCTGTCTCCCTTTTATCTGTGTCCCAGAACATACCTGCTGCTACATAAATCTTTCATCCAACACTGTATGGCTGGAAAAGGGGTTCCTATTCCCAATAATCTTGGAGGGTGCTGCTCTTCTTGTAGATGGAAGAGGTGTTTTTATACACCCCATAAAATCTGAATGTTTATGCCTTTATTTAGATATTACTTCTGGGGCTAAATATAACCAGAGTAGAAATTAAATGTATGGACTTGTAATTGACCAAGTATTCCCCCTTCTCTCCCTTCATGGCAGCAGAATTTTTTGATGATTACTCAGAAGGTCGAGAATGTGTCAACTGTGGGGCCATGTCTACCCCACTCTGGAGGAGAGACGGCACAGGGCACTACCTCTGCAACGCCTGTGGCCTCTACCACAAGATGAACGGCATCAACCGACCCTTGTTCAAACCTCAGAGGAGGCTGGTAAGTAAAGATCACACAGCGCATGTGGGGCAAGGCTGCATGCAAGGTGGAAGTGAAAAGGGTTTGGGTAGGTAGAGGTGCCATGTGGTTTTCATCTCCAAGGGTTCACCATCTCCATCTGCCCCATCCAGATGGCTTTGGTCTTGATCTCCTAAATAAGCCAGATAACCTTGTGGTTGATGCACTGCATGACCTTGCATTGTCCAGACTGCTTCCATAGAGATGTCTGGGCCAGGTGGAGTAAGGCATGTGTAGGACACTGGGGCAGTCCTATGCTGTCCATTGAGCAAAAGGCCAATCTTTGCATTAGGACCACTTTAGGATATTAGAACAAATGGAAACCCCTTCCAGCTCCACCACAAACGCAGTCTTTCTTCTCTTACTTTCAGGGTCCTTATTCCCCCAGTCATCACTGGGTGACCTATCTCACATCACCCCTTCCCTGGAGACCCTCTGTCTGAAAGCACACTGAAGCACAGGGCGTGTGGGAGAGGGGAACAGGGCAGTTCATGGTGTCCCAGGGTCTGTGGGGTCAGGATGGGGAGCTCAGGCTGAGAGATAGGAATAGCTCAGTTTGGATATTCTGCCTCTCCCGGATTATTTCAGGTGAGGGTTTCTGGGAAGGTCTCTGAAACCTGTGCCCATGACCCGGGAACAGGGGCCTGTCACAAGTGCCACTATTCCTAGGCAGCAAGGAGCTAACAAGACTTCCCTCTGTGTTGTGTATTTCTACCGGCCCCTTTGCTGCATCTTCCATGATGTTCCATTTCCAACCTGCACTGCTCTTCACATAGCCCAGACTGTCTGTGCTCAGACCCAGCCATCCTCATGCAAGTGCCCAAAATGACAGCATTAGTCTCAGTTCTGGCACCAGCCATAGTCACCCAGCGCCCTCTTGTGAAAACCCCTGCCGGGTTATTGACTGAACCAGGTTACTTGGTTCAGTTTGCGACTGGACCAAGCTGACCTGCCTGAGTTAGTTACCCTTGCAGCTGAATTCCATCACAGCCTTCATTAATTTTGAAGGATATATGACACTATTGGCCAGGAGCAAAGTAGCACTGTCAACGTCTGCGCCCTGGCATCGAGGTCCTTGACTTATTTCATTTACTGGTGTGCTTGTTGTGCCTGGGCACATCGGTGTAGTCAGGAATTGCCCTTTAGATATCAGAACTGGTGTTCGATAGCAAGCAGCAACTCATGGTTCTAACTCAGCACACTCATGGAAGAATAAGACTTCCTTGAGAAATACAAGTGCGTGAGCTGCGTGGATCTGTAAATGCACACTTGCCCTGTAGCTGGACTGCCCAAGGGAGAAAAGGTGGAGTAGCAGAGGAAGGACACATCAACTGTCTAGTGTGCCTGGGACCTGGAGCTGAGCTCCTTGGCCTTTGAGATGCTGCTGGTGGAAGCAGTGGAGGATTGATGCATTTTTGTCCTGTTTTTCCCCCAGTCGGCTTCCCGCCGCGTTGGCCTCTCCTGTGCCAACTGCCACACGACGACAACCACGCTCTGGCGTAGAAACGCCGAGGGAGAACCAGTCTGTAATGCCTGTGGACTCTACATGAAGCTCCATGGGGTAAAGCCTTTATTGTCCTTACTCCTATCAGGGGCTCTTGGTACAACTGTGCTGGTGATTGGCTTTGCTGTACCTTTTTTAATGCTTCTTTGGAATTGCTTTTCCTTCTGTCCCTCTGGGCCTCAGTGTCCCCCATCCTAGCATTGTTATGCTTATGCTTCCAAGGGGTGATGTATGCAGGGCATTCCTCACATACTGATTTGATACCCTTTCCATGAAAGTCCTAAAATCCAATTAAAACAGGCCTAGATTCATCACAACTAAATTCAGGCATTTCAGTGACCTGAGTGAGAAGCACAAAAGAGGGCTGAGCCCTTTCAAATCGGGTACCAGATCCCAGCTAAGGCTTGGTTGTAGTCAACCAAGCTGGCAAGTGCTAGTCCTAGTTCTGCTTCCTATTGCTATTTTAGGGAATTGTGACTCCTAAGGAAGATCATATATATAAAGACATATATGTATATATAAAGATTTCCAGTGCGTCAAGGGTATATAGGGTAATATTCATGAGAAAGGTCAATGCTGGAAGAAAAGGTGGAAAAGAGAGATAAAAATGGGTTTTATTTAACCCAATTTATTGAACCCAATAAATTTCTTCTGGTCATCCCAGGATGCTTCTAACTGTAAGAGTGACTGTCTCAGTGGGATCAATGCTGAAGGAAGGTCTTCCCACATAGACTTGGTACCTTATCAGAAAATAGGCGTTAGCCAGCAAGACATTTTCTGCTTTGAGTTATATGGAAAAACAAGTTAGATGAGTTCCATTTTGACCTTAGAAATAGTTCTTGTCTAGAAAAGATTACTTTTTCTAGACATACAGAAACCAATGTCTTTTATATTTGGCTCCACAGGTTCCAAGGCCTTTAGCAATGAGAAAAGAAGGCATTCAAACACGGAAGCGTAAGCCAAAGAACCTTAACAAAACAAAGACACCAGCAGGTAAGTGTCGCACAAGAAAGTTTACTCTGCTTGTGTGTGCGTGTGCACTTGTCTATGTGGCCATTTAAAATGAAATTTGGTCTGGTGCCCTATGAATCAGACACCATACCACAAAATGGGCTGGTTCTTCAAAAACAGTGAATGTTTTTGAATGTCCTATCAGAAAGCCCAGCTCAGTTTTACTAATTTATTTACTACTTAAGCTAACTTTGGGTGGCTGGGTATAGTTTTGTGCTGAAAGCTCTTTGGGGAGAGCCTGCATCACCGCTTGCTTTCTAACAGGTCCATCCAGCAGCGAGAGTCTTACCCCAACCACCAGCTCCGCTAGCAGCAGCAGCAGCGCCACGACCACTGAGGAAATGCGCCCCATAAAAACAGAACCAGGGCTTTCATCTCATTACGGGCACCCCAGCCCAATTTCTCAGGTACGGAGGGGAGGTACTGGAGATGTGACAAAGATGGGAGCAGTACTGTGGTAGACATGGTGAGGAGAACATCCTCAAAACCTTCTATGTAGGAAAAAAGCTGCAACCTTTCAACCTAGGCATCTAGCAACTCACAGTGGGAGATCCCGTGTGGTGGAATGAAAGTATATATTTTGTGTTACAAGCACAGTATGGCTTTTATAGTAGTTCCAAATCAATTGCAAGAAATAGCCATGCTGTTGAAAACATGGAAGTCCTAGCTGGTCAACTATATAATCAAGACATAACAAGAAACTGTTGGTTCTTTTTGTATGACTTGGTTTGACCGGGACAAGGCAGAATTTGGCAGTATCACCTACTTTCCCAGCACTGACTGGCCGTCAGTAGGGTTATATGCGTAAGGCAGTGTGCATGTAGAGTAATAAAGACACACAGCCCAAATGTAGCTGAGCTGAGTCCCTGCAAAGTTAAGAATGCCAGCAAGACAGCGGCGAGCAAAGACATGTTCTCTATATCACATCTGCCACTAGATGTCTCGGGACCAGCACTGCATCCACAAAAGCTGCATTTCCTGCTAAGCAAGACCCAGATGTGGAAGTTGATGTGTGTGAATGTCTTCAGGTTTCATAACTGTGCCCCAGTTAAAGATCCTCATATCACAGCAAGATTACGACGCAGTGGTGCGAGATAATTTGTCTCCCCTTGGATTCAAAATAGAATTTTAGTGTTCAAGTAACAATCCACATGATGCAAATATATGTGTTTGAGTGCTGGGCTGGACTGATGTTGCACCTGCAGCCTTTTACAGCACTGTTACAAGTCCTAAACGTTACAGGAGGCCATTTGTAAGGGTTTTGGAGGTAAAATGATCACTTCTTTCACTAGAAAAGAACAATATCTCCCCCCAAGCTGTAACAGGATAGAGCAGGAGGTAGAAGGAAAGTGTCTAAATCATCATACATTAACTGTAATTTGGGACTCTCTAGCAACTTCTCAGCTATGTTCACAAGTCTCTTGTTATTAGAAAAGCACCACCTCACTCATAGGAGTTGTAGGGTCCTCTATGCTCTGAAACTTTGTTTTTTATAGGATCTTCCGTTTTTCCACAGGCATTCTCGGTCTCTGCTATGTCTGGACACGGATCTTCTATTCACCCTGCGATTTCAGCCCTGAAGCTGTCCCCGCAGGCTTACCAATCAGCCATCACCCAGTCTCCACCGACCAGCTCCAAACAGGACTCCTGGAACAGCCTGGTCTTACCTGAAAACCATGGGGACATCATAACTGCATAAGCTGGTCTTCCTCCCATGGACTTTGGGCTGATCTGCTCGAGAAACGACGAAGATGCCAAGTAATAATCAACCTGATGTTGTTTCCAGCCTCCCCTGCTCTCCTGACTTCCGTCTCCTTGTGAGATGTTCCAGCAAAGAGGTAAAGAAGACTTCTCGGAGGTGTAGGAGGGCTCTTATAAAACAGAGAAGACTCCAATCTCAGCGTAGCTAATGGATTTGAAGCAGTTTTTCCCCTTCAAACAAGCATCTCTTTATTTGACTCTCACCACCTATTATGAAATGGCCAGAAGCAAAGATGGACACAGTTACTGGGATTTGTTTATTTAAAAACATCAGGCATTGACAATTCAGACAGTGGTGGCACAGAGACACTTGTTTTTTTTCTTCTCTCACCGTCCATAAGTGATTCATTCTTCTTTCCAGAAGAAAACGTTATCATCTTATTATCCAAACTCAGTGATCTTCCACCAAACGGAGCCAATTTCTTGCACAGACTTCAGTAGACATGCTGTGGTAGATTTAGTGGAGTTGATATAGGGCAAAGAAAAAAGACACTCCCCTTTCCCCCCAAAAAATGAGCTCACTCTCACTAGAGTGTGCCTTTATTTTCCTAAATGGTTTCAAAACCATAATGAATGCCCATATTTAATAACTCTTTTCTATTTGTCATTACAAAATCATTGAACTGTGTTTCCAAAAGGCTGTTAGATGAGCCTGGAGAAGGTCTGTCTGTCTGGGGATTTTATAAAGGAAACCTTCTGGAAGCGGGTAGAAGAACATTGGTTATCAAATCCTGAAGGAAACTGTGACTCTTCCTTTAAGGATAGCTACAAGCCAGACTTGGAGATTATTCCAGAGCATAGCAAGTGACAATTGCTCTTCCAGTGCTGCTGTGCTCTTGTTCTAGAGACATTTAATTTAAGTATGTTTCATCTTTTTCTATTTCTGTTGGTTTTGCTGCCATTGATGAAATCTGATTGCCATTTATTTTTGGGTGTACTATGAGTGCCATTTTGCTCCAACAACTGGGCCATGACCATTCCCCACACATAACCCTTAAGGATTTCACTTTCCACAACAAATAACGTAATTCTTCATCTTTGGGATCTTCAGCTCTCTAATGGAGGCAAGCAAGGGCCATTTTCTTTATTTGCTTGCCTAAAAAAGAAGCACAACTCCTTTTTCATATGAGTATTAAACAAGAGACTGGTGTTCACTCTTGCTCAACACGCTCCCAGCAACCACAGAATCCTAGAAAATTGAGCTTGAAGGGATGCTGAGAGATCACTGGCTTATTCCCTTGTCCCAGAGGGATCAACTCCACCTGAGCTATCCCTGGTTGTTATTGTCTAGCACGTGCTTAACAAACTCCAGCAATGCAAATGACACAGCCCCCTTTGCAATCTTTCCCAGTGCTTCTCTAGATGTTTGCTAGGATGTTTTCATCAACATCTTCAAGGAGGGCGATGCCTGCTTCTCTAACCAGAGAATTTGGAGATTTCTCATCCAAGCATGATTCCCCATTCTTGTTTCTGTCCAAACTCTCTCTCATGCTTCCTCTTGCTTTCTCAGCTCTTCTCTTTCCTCTCTGCACTCAGAACGTGAGTATGGAACCACAGAGTGAAAGTCTAGAAGAGGAATTGTCCTGAAGTATATGAAGTCCTTCTTCTCTTTCTGCTGAACATTTTTAGAAAGCATGTTCCCAACCGAGGTACCCAGGTACATGACTTGGGGAGAAGAACAGCCATGCACATGATTGAAGCAAAAGGATGGGATTGTATTGTCTTTGTCCAAGCTCTCCCTTTTCTCCTGATGGTAGAGATGCTTTTTTTACAGAGAAGCATTCAGCTGGACTTGTCTTGACGGTGACTGGGACTGCATGGAGTGGAATCACAGTAGATGCTTGAACTCCTTCACATTTTCTCTGCTCTGAGCAGTAACTCAGATTCACAGGGTTTTGGAGGGCTGTTGGAGTCTCTGCTTCCCAGAGAAGAGCATAGCAACGATGCCAGAGGCCTTGCAGGACAATGTTTACATCTTGAAGGCCTTCTGGTGGGCTTCTCTGTAGAAGCATCGTCCTGACTTGGCAAGGAGTGACCTTCACTGGCTTATGGGAGTCCAAACTCTGGGAGTTTTTTCAATTCCTCCCTACTAAGACGATCACAGAATTTCTGCTCTTACTAAAGCTAAGGCGGGATCTACCCTCATTAGTGTGCTTACTAGAGATAACAAAGAGTCAATAAAACATGAATAAAATATTATACTGAGATGCTGTGATGCTGCTGAGGCCTGGTAGGCCATTGAGAAGCCAGGATATGACCCAACATTCTGTAGACTTGCATGAGTATTGTATCAGGCCCTTGGAGACTTAATTAAGATCAAGAGTAAGGGAAAGCAATGAAAAGAAACTCAGTTCAGAGAAGTTACAAGTTCAATCACCTGGGGACAAATAGTACTGAAGAATATGAACTTGAGGTGAAGGCATAAATGTGTTTGTCCCCAGGCATGCTGGTTTTTAGCCAGTCTCCTCCTTCAACTACAGTCTTTGGAATCTGGCTGGGAATTGATGTTTGTGACTGGATGTCTCCCCAGGTTCTGCTTGGCTAAACGCTCACATTTTGGGATACCACTGCAGGCAGCCTGAGGGGGAGGGAAACAGGTAACCTCTGGGAGATGGGGCTAAGATCCTGACCAAACACATGTAGCATATCTCTCTCTGTGCTGGTGGTCCCAGGTGCTCTGTCTACCTTGCCCTATTACTGTGCTCCTCCTACAGCCCTCAAAGCCAAATGCCTTGGCAGAAACTTTATTCTGCCCTTAATACACACTCCGAGGTGCCATGAGGAAGTGTTTTCGAAATGCAAGAGGGAAACCTCCCCACAGGGCATGAGCCTGGTGATTGCCTGGCTTATGCCACCTCAGATTCTCTAGACAACCATGGCAGAGCTTTATTAACTGGTTCTCAGCCTTCCTTAAAGACTTAAAAATGGTTCTTAGCAAAGAGTGAGGAGCTTTTACAAGAATTTTGATTACAAGACAGACATCTGCTTTGAAACGGTGGAGCTCTGGAGCTGTGAGGACAATCTGGTTCTCCTGAGGGACAGAAACGAGCTCTTTTGTCCCTCTTTTCCACTGTGTACAATCGAGGTTCAGATACTCCTGGTTCTGCTATTCCTTTCATTGTTGCAGACCTATTTTTGACCCAGAACTTTCTGCTCATACTCTGTACAACACTGATATTAAGATGGTGAGAAACTGACTTCAGATGGGGTACCACTGTGCTTGGTACTACACAAACATACCATAATAGGTGGGTCCTCTCTTAGGGAGCTTATAGTAACAGAATTAGGGAATAATTTAAGTCAAAAGTGACTAGATGAGGTTGTTCAGAGCCTGATCAGTCAGGTTTTGAATATCTCCAAGGATGGAAACTCTCCATGTACTTGTTCCAGTGTTTGACCACTCTCATGGCGGATTTTTTCCCCAATAAATTTTAATTAATATCAAAAGGTAAAACTGTTTAGAAATTGATTGCTCAGGCTGCAGACTCCCACATGAGTCCTTTACTGCAAGAGGCTGAACACTGACTGCAAATCCATAGAGCCCCTTGAGCAGGTAGGAGCTGGAATGGCCAGCACAGGATAAGAAATACTAGAAGTAACAGATCTGGAAATACGCACAGGACATATGACAAAATGATGGTATGAAATTGCTACCATTTTCAGTGTATTTAGCTCATTGTAGCCAGAGGCTCACCTTACAAAATTTGGAGTTATCTTCGAGCGGAGGGAAGGGGCCAGTCCTGAAAAACATATAAGCCCATATATAAATGTCCCTGACAGAGCTGTTCCCTTAGCGGTCACCATTAACCACACATGTTGATGCCTGAAGATTTTTAGTACAAGGCTTGATTGTGCAAACAGTCAAGCCAGAACTTTGCTATGGACCAGTGGTCACCAGTGTGAGATAGACAAGAGTCAGGATGGGGAGCCAGAAAGGTAGAAAAGTAATTTACCATTTCTAAATGTCTTTCCTCTTTGTGAAAGTGCAATATCTTGAATCGCTTCAGTTCTTATTTATATAAAAATTGATCAGTAGAGTTGCATATTTCACTTGCAATCTTAGGGGCTGACTGGACCCTCTCCAGTCTGGAGGAGCTCAGGAATATTGTAAGGGAGCTTTAAAAACGATCAACATTTCTTAATATAACTCTGAAGCTGTGACTATGTCAGGGGTGGTGTTTTGTTGTGCTTTTTATTTTTCATATATAAAGTTTGAAGCTTCCCAGAGCATCTGGGAAGGTCTCACAAACAAACACTTGTTTGTAAGGGAGAGGGCAAAACCAACCAACGAACTGAACAAGCTGTAATTATTTAAAGATGTAAAAAAATATATATTATGAACTAGTATGGCTGCCAATCCACGTAACTTCTACACCTTTAGAACTAATGGAAAATAAAATGATGATAATAAAACCAGATGGTTTCTGCCTGCCTCTGATTGACCTGGTGAGTTTCTTGGGCTAGGTTCATGGTAAACGAGTACATGTTGAGTACATCCAGAGAAGTACATCTGTGTTAATCCACAGAAGGGAAGCACCCAGTATGTTACCACACAGCAGGCAATTCTACTAATGCAATAAGAAAAGGAGAATCTCCTCAGAGCATCTTAATAACAGTGCATCTTATCTTTTGCAACTCTCATTAACACAGCTTTGCTTAATACACCACTGATGTAGCCTAATTGCTTCCAGATTAACTCCAGGATGCCACCCTGAGCCAAAACCACATTGCCACCAAGGGCTGCATTCACCACTGCTGCTTTCTGCCCAAGCCCGATGCTTGTACAAGCACCCAAGCTTCCCCCAGAGCACTCCCCCTCCTTCCCAGTTCAACCAGTGCCCCAGCCCTGATGCTACTGGGATAGGGGTGGGCCAAGCACTTGAAATGCTGCCCATTGCTGCCAGGGCAGTCAATCAGGGAGCTCCACTGCTATTTGAGGTGGGGACTGGTCCTTCCTCCCCTGTAAAATCAGGTGATGGGGAAGACTGGGGTATGTGGTGTGGTAAAGCAAGGTTGGATGTAGGAGGTGTGGGTGGGTTAGGGAGGTTGCTGTGATGAGGAGCTAGGAAGCAGTTGGGTTGTTGGAAGAGGGCTTTGGAGCAGAGGAAGGGATCTGAGACAGGGAAATGGGGCCATAAATGGGAGGGGAGAGGCTCAGCTCTTTCCCAAACACCTGCATGGGAAAGGGGAAGGATTGGGCTGGCTGGGAGGATTGGGAGCTGTGTTGGGAGCCTGGCAGTGTGTGATCCCTCTCCAATGAGGAGCAGGGGGATCTGCCTGGAAGCAGCATGGGGCTCCATTGCTTGGCAGAGCTGCAGCTCGGTGCTCAACTGAGAGGGCCTGGGAAATGGATACAATTTTGAGAGGAAAAAGTGCAATTTAAGGGAGAGGAGAGGCAGGGGTACACTTGACAGAGGCCCTGTGCTTCTCTATGGGGTTTTGCCTGGTGTGTGTCAGCAGAGCGCTCTAGGGACCTGCAGCAGGTAACAGCAAGGATTTGGAGCAGGCTGGGGAGAAAATGCTTTTTTGGGGGGTACTTTTCCTGCTGGGGAGGGAGAAATCTTGGGACTGAGGGAGAAATGTTGGGATTGATGGGGCTGGGGACACATGGAGGGTCAGGACTGTGTGTTTAAATCCCTGCAGGAATTTCATGCAGGATTGTAAAGCTCTCCAGGGGGTTCCCTACCTCTGTGATCCCTGTTGTTCTCTGCAGTGGGTTGTGGGTCCCAAGTGATTCCCAAGTAGGTGAACTGGTGCTGAGGATGTAATCCAGCCACATAGTGTTTATTGTCCAGTTCTACCCCTGCAGAAAATACCGGTTTCATTGCATTTGTTGTTATTTCCTGCTTCTAGAGGGCTTGAATGCTAGGAAGGAGACTATATGTGTGCTATATCCAGTGGGCTGGATTTGTAGCCCCAGTGTCTTTCCAAGACAGGCTTGGGAGTACAGTGGTCATATCCCTAGGGAAAAGGGTTAGTTGATGTACACATGGCTGGGAGCTGTGATCCCTCTTGGAGCAGGGAGACAGTTCTTTTGGAAAAGACTGCTATGGCCCTAGAATGAAAAGATGACCTAGGTAGATATTTCTAGCTAGTCCGTGAAGAGAAAGGGGGGCAATGGGAACTAAGGAAATTAGAAACTGTACCTGGTTCAGATGGCCCCCAAAAGAACTGCAAATAATGTCTCTCTGATCTTATGCCAGAAATAACCTTTGCAATGGAATAACCTCCATATCGAGTGAGCCATAGGATGCTATGGGAGAGTGCTACTCTGTCTGTCACCTTGCTGGAGCCTGGTGACCCTGGGTGTTGCTGGCAGAGTGTACAAATGCTTCCTTGCTGTTAGAGTTGGATAAACTACAGCAAGGAGCTCATAAATGAGCAGCATTAGAGTTATGTTTTGGTTGGTAGGAAAGGAAGGAGCCTTTCTCTCTCCATGGAATCTTCCACAGGGATTGAAGGGGAGGGAGGTGGAGACACTGTTCGAGCCCTTCATGTAGGCACGAGCTCAGCCTCCTCGTGTAGGCTTTGTAGCTCTGAGCTGCAGTGTCCCCTGAGCTTTAGGGTGCCAAGCGTGAGAAGTGTCTGCCGACGGCTGCCAGCGATGCCGGAGGGCCCATCGGTGAAGAAGTTCCAGCTGCTGACGTCCCCTTTTGTGGGACAAGTAGTGACCAAGGTGGGGGGAAGCAGCCGGAAGATCAACGTGAATGAACTGAAAGCGCTGAGGCTCCAGGACTCTCAGGTGGGCTATAAAAGAGGATATATCTCTAAATGTATAATGGGTCTGTGTTGGGTCTGAGGGAAGCCACTGTTGCCCAGCATCTGGATCACAAGTGGTGTGCAACCCAAGTGACATCAAGCTCTTCCTTGAAGTGGCCATAGGCTTTATTTATAATTACAAAATAGGGACGCTTTTTGCAAAGGGAGGGATCTGGCTGGGCATGTAGACACCCAGAACTCTGAAGTTTTGGTCTCTTGTTCTCATGCAGTAGTTCTGTGTCCTGCAAGGGAAGAGGGGTTCACACTGTCAGTGGCTCCTTCTAGGAGATAAAAAGTTGTTTTCTCCAGTATATCGATGATACGAGTCGCAGCCTTGTTTCCCCCAGCTGAGACCTTGCACAGCTGCATCCTGTGTACCAGAGGGCTAGGTTTCAGCTAACTTAAAATATCTACACTGTGAACACCTGTATCTAATCTACACATTGAGCTGTGTGTCTCCAAGGCAGAACAGTCCTGATGATGGATTTTGAAACCCTGAGCATCTCCTGATGTGCAAGTGACTCTCTGGATCCTCAGCATGTTCTGCCTCTTTTCTCAGGTTCATGGGAAAAACTTGTTCCTGGCATTTGAGGCAGCTGGAGCTCAACTAGGACCAAGCGCAGAAGAGCTAGCATTTCAAAGAGAGGTTTGTAGCGGGGCAAGTTCTCCAGCCCAGGAGGGACAGGAGCAGACAAGTCTCCCAGAAGAGAAGCCTCAGGAAGCCCCACACTGCAGATCTGATGCCCCAGATACAGGGTGTCCACGCAACTGGCTGCGTGTCCATTTTGGCTTGTTTGGCAGCATTCGGGCAAACGAGTTCTCAAGAGCAAACAAAGCCAATAAGAGGGGGGACTGGAAGGACCCTACACCCAGGTACTGGCTGAGTCTTCTAGCAAACTTGGTTTTCCTGCTTTTATCATTGAGAGGCACTCTTCTGTCTCTAAAACTAAGCTTACATGGGGATGATTTTTGTCTTTTCCTTTAAGAGCTATTTAAGAGCTATTAGCTCTTAAACCTAGGAAAACACATGGGTGTGAGAGGCGCTACTAGTGTGTAGGAGGATATGGGGTGTAATCAAGCCCATATTTGAAACCAGGGAGTATACAATAGACTGCTGTTTGGGTACTCCCATGCTTTAGGAGTCTTGGAAATCTCCTAACATACTATTTGGTGGAGGTTGCCTTGGGCACACCCTGTACTGGCACTGTGAGTTCTTTTGCCCTTACCAAAAAAGTTGAGGTGTCTTTGGTTGGGCTTTCTGTTCGTTTGCTGCCTTCTGCCTCCTTCCATTTTCGTTCTCTAAAGCTTTCCCTTTTCTGCTACCTCTATTCACGTTTGATCTGTTAACTGATTGGAGAATTAATGGATTGTAGGTACAAGACTCATATTGCCAGTCAGCCTAGGGATCGTGGTACTAGTTGAGATTAGACAATTAGCCAAAGAAACCTTCTGGGATGCGAGGTTGAATTATGCCATTAAAAAAGCGCTCTTTATCCCAACTTTAAAGAAGCCTTGAGTACACAGTACATCTAGAGCAGCTAAAGTCACTGATTGGAATTTTTACTCCACATTAAATGCCTTATCAGCTGGGTGTTTGGCATATGTATACATGGTGTACTTGATCCGGATGGGGGAAGAATGTTTGTTCCCATTCCAGTTCTTTCTTTGCTACAGCCTTTGGTCACCTGGCTCACCTGCCACAGGTGACCAGGATGCTGATATTTCTCTCTACCTGCCGTCATTGCTTGGCTAAAAGGCTGTAGGACAGCAGAAGGAAGAACTATCCCACGAGTTATGTGGGCTCACGTACAAGTTTCTTGGCTGAAAGCACTGAAGGAAGCTGGAGTACCAGCTGATCCCATGTGCATCTGTATGTGAAGAATGAGGAAAAAATAGCCTAAGTGTGACACAGTGCAGCCTTTAATCCTGCCTGTTAAACTGTGGTAACCTCCCTGCTTGAGGGAAACTGGGACACTGAGATGTTTCCCTAATCTCATGAGAGTTACTGGCATCTGCTTTCCATGGGGTTGGTGATTCAGAATGTATATAAAGTCTCCTTCTTTGTACACTTATATATAGTTTTTTTTCTGTGCCTTCTGGTGACTATTCCTTTCTAAGCTGCTGTCCCTTTCTACACTTCTATCTCCATTGAGTCATTTGAGCCAGAGCACAATATAACAAATGGTTCAGGGATGCTTTCGACTAAAGATTACAACTTTTCTGCCTCAACCCCAGGTTGGTCCTGCACTTTGAGAGTGGAGGCTTCCTTGTTTTCTACAACTGCCGAATGCACTGGTGCTCTTCTCCAATGGCTAATCCTGCTTCTGACATCCTTTCCGTGGAGTTCCACCGTGGCCGGGCGCTGGATGCCCTCAGGACACCCAGTCCTGTCTGCTACACCCTCCTAGATCAGAGATATTTTTCAGGGCTGGGTGAGTTCTAGGGTGTGGTGGCACAAAGGGAAGAAGGTGGATGGGAAGTCTGCAGATCCCAAGTTGTAAATCTAAGCCTCTAACCCTTTATGGCAAAGCAAGCTGCTAGCTGATTCAGCTGAGAGGTTATGTGATCTTCTCATGGGAGCAGGCTTAGCAGGTGGTAGCCATTGACTTCAGATGTTTAAGTGCATCTGGTGAGCCTAGTGAATCATCTTGGTGTGTGTGTGGGGGGGAAACTGTTGATGGGCTTGTCCTTGTGAAGGAAAGTCTCCTTGGAAGGTGGTGGGAAGAGATGGACATCAGATCTATTCCCAGGTGTAAATGCTCCTTGTATGCTACCTCTCATATGGGGAATGGTGTTGCTAACTAGCTCTATCTTCTTTAGGCAGAAGTCATGGTGATGAGTGCTCCATTATGCTCAAGTGGCCTAAAATGCTGATGGCAAAAGTGATGTTAAATGCCATCATTCTGTGTCATGTAGATGAAAAAATATTCTTACAGCTTCCTTATTTCTGACCTTTTCCAGGGAGCATCATTAAGAATGAGATTTTGTACATGGCAAAGATTCATCCCTTAGCGCAAGGCTCTCTCTTGGCTGTCTCGGATCTGGAGCGGCTGCTTGACTACGCTGTTCAGTTCGGCTCCGACTGGCTGCAGAGCAAGCTGCATGGGAAAGGGCTGCACCCTCAGATCTACCAGAAGGAGCACTGTCCCCTCGGGCATGCAGTGATGAAAGAAACCCTTGGACCCTTGCATGGCTTCAAGAGATTGACTTGGTGGTGCCCTCAGTGCCAGCCTGCAGTGCCTGCAGAGAGTGAGTGACTCAAGTGAGTGACTAGTGATCTGCCTTTCTTACTCTCCTCCTCCTGGAGGACTATTCAGATGGTGTCTCAGTTCTTTTGAAAAGGTCTTTATGGTTTCTATTAAGTTTGTTCCATCTGGAAAAGTGATTTGGCAGTGGCAGATGTTCCCTAGAGGTCGGAGTCTCCAAAGCATCTTGTACATCTGAATGCAAGAAGGAAACTGGTTGAACGCTCCTCCTTGTTTGTCATAGTTGGCTCCATAAGTCGTTTAATTGGTGCTGAGGTGTCTTGGTCCCTGTGTGTGGAGTGTGAACTTCACTTTACCTCGTTATTTGAGCAAGCTCCTGGGCAAACCAGCTTGCTGGGTAGAAATGAGTCAGAAGAACCAGCCTGCCTCTTGGGCTGTGACCACTTTACATGGGTGAGTATCGGGAGTATCTGATTCATCCCAGGGGCTTTCAAGGATCCTGAAGATTACTATCCAGAGGACCCAAATTTTCCTATTTTCAGCTGGATGTTTAGGAAGGTGAGGTACCTCCACTAAGGGTGCCCATGCCTTGTAGGCTTAACGGGGGTTGCTTGAAGAGCCTATATATATATACACATTTTTTTTTTCTCCTATGCTTTCTGGCTTATGACTGTGTATGAAAAGCTTAGGGCTTTGAGCAGGTGGCTTCTTCTGCTTTCAAGCTGCTGTAGAGATCATGAGTTTCATGCATTCCCTGTTATATTATTAGGCCTATATATAGGCCTTACCTATATCATTATATTAGACATCTACTACGCTTGTGATCCCAGTTGTTAATGGCCTGTCGGTCCTCCCAGAAAAGCCACTACTGTGATTTATAGAAACAAATTATATATACATTTATTTTTTTGGTACCTATTCCAAACTTTCCCGTATTTCAAGGCTCAGGACAAAGCTCCAGAATTTTGTGCTGCTTTGGGTAACTGTGACAGCAGCTTTGGGACCCCTATGGTGAGTCAGTTTGATTGCTGGGTGAATAAAAACACTGATGGTGCCAAAAAAAAAAAAAAAGGGGGCTCTTTAGTGTTGTCTCAGATCTGTGGCTTTCAGTTTTGATTTGGGCCGAGAGGTTCCTCATTATGAGAAAGACAAGTTGTTAGCTGAAATGGAGGCTGGAGGAGCTCACTCTGGAGGTGAGGCATGATAGGCTTAACACCTCTTTTTTTATTAAATTTTCTTTTTTTTTAATTTTTATTTTGAAGTGGCAGAGGGAGCAGCAGGGGGTGAGCTCAGGTCTCCGTTCAAAACAGGCTCCCTGAGATGATCTTGCTGTACTGAATATTGAACTCATGGGAGAAATATCACCGGGGCAAAGCCGGGGAGATGACTTAATAAAAACAAATATTAAAAATAAGAAGCAAACCCCACCTCCTCACAGCTGGGGGGGGGGGGGGGGAGCCTGTTGAGGCAAGAGATGCTCTTGAGGGGGCTGTGGAGTAGGGAACCCTGAGGAGAGATGCGGTTCCCCATCCCTGGGGGGCTACGCCGTGAAATGGCGGTGCGTGGGAGGGCGCGAAATGGCGGGCGGGGGGGGTGGGGGGTCCCTGAGGCGCGGGCCGCCGCTGCGGCCCCTTTAAGAAAGGCCCGTTGCGAGGGGCGCCGTCGCCCAGTCAACGCCGGCCGGCTTGCCGTCACACCAGCCGCGCGGCCTCCCCATTGGCTAGCGCCCTCCTGGTGCGAGAGCGCGCCGGCCAATAGGCGCCGCCGCCGGCCTACCGGGCCATGGCCTGAGCGCCGCCATTGGCGGAGCGGCGCGGTGGGCGGGGCCGCAGCCCTCGCGGTTCATTAAGCGGCGGGAGAGCGTGCGGGGGGCGCGCGCGCGTGGGGCCGGGCGGGAAACGCGCGTGGGGGACATGGAGCTGCTGAGGAAATGGCTGGGCCACCCCGAGGACATCTACCACCTGCTGCGCTTCAAGATGGGCGGCTACCGCGCCGTCATGCCGCGCGTGGACCCGGTGAGCATCCCCCCGCCGCCACCCTCCCACGCGCGGGCGCCGCTCTTTAAATTCCAATTGCTTTTTTTTTTTTTTTTTAATTAAATCCACGTTATTTTTGCTGTCCCCACCCCGGGGTGATGGGGGTGGGGGATGCAATGATGCGGGGTGCTGGCGGGCCCTGTAATGACATCCACCCATTCACCTTAGTGTGGGGTTGGAGGGGGGGGCCGGGCGGGTGACACCGCCGCGCGGGGAATGCTATTTATTTTTATCTTTTAATTTATTCCTTAAAATTTACTTTCACATTTCATTCATTTCATTTTTGATTTTTTTATTTCATTTTTTGTCTTTTTGTTAATTTTTTTCTTTTTCCATTAATTTTTTTCGTTAATCCCTTTTTAATTTTTTTCCCCTTTTTCCCCCTTTTTCCTTATTCCCTTTCTTTTTCCCTTTTTTTTTTTTTTTTGGTTTCTTTCATTTATTTT